CACCAGATTTATCTAACATAAATCTTCGATTACCAATTTTATCCGGACTTAATGCTTGCGACCAGGTGTTTGGACAGAAAATCGGCACGAAGTCGCGGCAATACCTGGAAAAAATGTTCATTTGCTGACGATTGGCAGCAAAAGCAAGCAGATCGCGGTGGTGAATCGTCGTTGAGAATCGCGTCGGACGTGTTGAGGTGGCGGGACTTAGGTGAGGATATTCCGTCGCGTTTGACGTCGTTGTCGTCGTCGTGGTGCGTTGTTCAGCCCGTGGTTCGGCAGTGAGAGAAAGATAAGAGAGAGAGGCGGGCAGCTATAACCGGCAACCACACGGTGGACATGATTATTTCAAAGGATCTGTTCCTCTTTGGCGACCAAGATTACCTGCGCCTTCCCAGCAACGAGAAGCGCCAGCAACGGGCAATGGGCCGACCGATCATCAATGCTCCCAGGTAAGTGGCTACGATATTTTACTCATTGTGTTTTAGTTTTTTAATCTTATTTTTCTTTCTTTCTTTTCTTTTTATTATTTCATGGATAAATGTGGAAAAAACTTGCTGACGAATACGTTTTGCTCGGAACAATTGGAAGATTGCTTTTGTTAAGCTACTTTGTTCATTATATGACATCGAGTCACGCATGATAATATTTTAAAAGAATAAATTTATGAATTTTATTTCGTTCTTTTATAAAGCATAGTGTGTTTTGGAAAATCTTAAATAGATAATTCTTTTGAGCAACGTATTTTTGAGCATAGTTATTTCACATGAAATAATGATTTTTAGAATTTTATTTGTAGAATAAGAAAAAAATTGAACACAAATATTATCTGTATGGATTTAATTTTATATTTAATAATTTGTTCGATCCGAGGGTAATTATTTTATATATTTTAATAGGAATTTGCTATTAGAAAACGAATTTAATATTTCACCGAAGGAAAATATGATATTATTTCATATTTGAAAAATTTTAAATTTACGGAATCAGGCGATACAAATCACACACTCACAATTGAACTTCTCCAACACGAAACTTCTTCTTTTTCACAAATATTCCAAATCTCTGCTTACTATCCAGAATCTTTTAAATTATTAATGAACTTGATTCGTTATAAACAAAATTCACTTCAAAAATATTTACTTCAAAATGATAACAACAACAGCAACAATAGCAACAATAAATACGAGATAATCAAATATCATATTCTTTAAAAAAATTCTCCAAAAGACTAAGGTTTTTCGCGAACAAAAAACAAAAGGAATAAAAAGAAAAAAAGGAAGGAAAGTGGCAATTAACAACGCGTACTAGCGCGACTGTTAAATCCCTTATCATGACTGATACAGTCGATGATCTCTTTCGAAAGAAGACCGAGCCGTCGCCCGCCCCTTATCTATTCGCGTCATAAAAAAATATATCATCGACTAATACGTCGGCAAATCTCGACGGTGCAATAAAAAATGTCGAGAATTGGTAAAATTCTCGTCTCGTCTCGTCTCGTCTCGTCTCGTCTCGCGACCTTCTGCCGTGTCAACGGGTTCCTCCGAATGATTCCGTGACATTCTTTATTCGTATGATTTTATTCATGCTCTCGAATTTATCGAAAGGTTGATCGTTGCACTATGATGCATAGATGTAAATATGCGCATCGTCGTTTGAAGGATGATAGGATACCTTTTAGTCTCAATAAAACTTTAACATTTGAGAAAGATAACTTCAACAAACTAGAATTGTAGATCTAATATAGAATAAGTAGATAAATTTAATTATAGAATAAGAAACTTACATTATTTTAAATCAATCAATTTGATCGATTTTTTGTAATTCCAATGTTAAATCAGTTTTAAATCAGTTTTAAATTTTAATTTCTTTCGTATCTTTTAATTTTTAAATCGTAGATGATTCTACGATTCGTGCATTTTTCTCCAATTTAATTCCCCTATCAGAGAAGACAAAGAACAATCATTCCGCTTCCTATCTTCTTTCTCTTATTCTATCTCCGTTTCTCCCTCCTCGTTTCACGTCTTCGACAAATTTATTTATAAAAACAGCGTTGTTTGTCGTGGCTGATTTAACGAGCGTCGACACACTCTGGTTGCTTATTTGTGCATGTGTTTGTTTGATCGTGCCTTTTGTTTCCTTGCCTCGTCGACACATTCGTTAATACCGCGTAATTCCGGAGCGCGATTCGAGATCTCGAAATATCTCTCCGTTCCTTGTTTGCTTTGTTTTTTTTTTTTTTTTTGTTGATTTGTAATTCGTCGCGCGACGAGGAATATTGCCATGAAATTTTTCAACGCGGAACGCGTTGGACGTGGATTCATCACGATTTCGGACGAGATAGCTCTCCCTAGGGATTTTGGAGGGCTTTGCGCGAGGATTCTGGAGAGATATTAGGGATTTTCCCTATTCTCGAATTTTTAGCGACACTATAGCCCATGATGGTACCGACTTAATGGAATTCTATAAATTTCCATAATTCTCCGCTAGGCTCTTTTTAGCAATTCCATCCTTGGTATCTCCTTTAAGAGTTTGATTCCTTCTTCTTTTCATCGTGAAAATTCTTCAATTTTCAAAGATACTGTAATTTTATTTGTACGTATCTCAAAGTAACGATTTCGAGATTTTATAAACATTCTTTTCAATTTTCTGTATTAGATAGTTTCGTTACGATACTGATCTTCAAAATTGTTGGAAAATTGTTTAATTTAATTTGACGTGCTTTTAAGTAGCAGTAAAAACTTTTATAATTTTCCTCGCGGAACATTTTATCGATCTCACAGCTGTGGATGGATATATCATGCAATGATACATCACGCAAATTCTCCACGTTTCATAATTTCTCGAAAGCTTTACGTAACAATATTTCAACGTTCCCCATACAATTTCGTCCCCGAAAGAAACTCGACGATCACCTTTCATCTTTTATTAACTGCTGCTATCATTTCCAGATCCAATTTTACACCTCTTCACATATCAATTGGGCAGTTTCTCTTCATTAAATTAGACGTCGGCCGCAATCGGCCACTTCCGGCCCTCCCGACAGAGTGAAATCGGAGGAAGGAGAGAGGAGGGGGCTTTGATCAGGTTTTGGAAACCTGTAACCCTCTAATTACCGAAGCTCGGCCACCTCTTCAAAAGGGTTTTCGAGAGAAAAGAAAGTTGCAATTTCGTGTCCACGAGCGCGGCACCGCATTTCGGAGAAGCAATAAATCGCGTTTTTTCGACCGGAGGCGGACCTCTCCTCCTCCTCCTCCTCCTCCTCCTCCTCCTCTTCCTTCTCCTCCTCCCGGGATCCGTGTTTTCGAAAGCATTTCGAGGTATCGATTACCTTTTCGTCCTTTCGAAATCGTACACCGCCAATCGTATTTCCCGATTGCGGACGAATTTCGCGCTCTCGACGTTTCTGGAACGTGAAATGCGAAAAAGAAGCGAGAAATAAGAAAGAAGCGTGATGAAGTTGCGCTTCGTGTATAAATCGTATATAATCACGCTTCGAAAATGTGAGTGTGAAGAAGATTAGCGGTTGATTTTTTTTATCAGTGTCAACGAACGTTGTTGATACGAGAGAGAGAGAGAAAGAGAGTGGGAGTCTTGGCGAAATTGCGAATAAAAAGAAAAAGAAGGAAAAGGAAGAGAGAAATAAGAACGCTCGAAATAACGAGTGTTATCATTGTGCTGTGGGATGCGCGGTCCTCCAAGTCTGATTTCTCGAGGAAGACGTTCGTAAATCAAGCTTTGTTTCTGGTATATAAAAATGTGACGTGACAGATAAGTTTCGCGTTTTATCTTCTCGCTGCCATTATCGCTCTTGCTACCAGCCAATCAATATCCAAACTTTCGTCGAACATTGTTGGTCCGATAGATATTGTGTTGGCCTCCTGCGATTATTTTTTTTTCTTTTTATTCGTGATAATTTGTTGAAAATATGAAATTATTCCATTTTAATATCGTATACACATTATTATTATTAGTTTCAAATATCACGAGAAGAAAGTTTCTAATTCCAAACTTTCAACCCGAATTAAATAACCGATCGATTTTTCCGAAAATTGAATATTATACACACAAACGAAGTATTAAAACAACAATTTTTCTAGAAACACTATCCTCTATATCTTATATATACTCTTTCTCCCTTTTCTGGGAGAAAAGGGAAGAAGGAACTCAATATAATTTAACCTAGCTTTTACTCCCAAAAAGAAATAAACTACATCTCGAGGCGTGCAAGATATACGAATATACGTTTATCCCATTTTCTTTTTCTCGCAGATCGTTCATTTCACCCGTGTTGGAAACGTTGAAAGATCTCGAATCTCCTCATCGACTGTAGAGAACCCTGTCACCTCTGCGCCAACGAGATATCCGCCGATTTTTCTCGCTCGGCGACCGGTCCACGCCCATGCGCCCGCTCCCTTGCCCACGCGACGCGATAAGGAGAATGCGAGCGTGTACGAGCGTGTATCGCGAAGAGTGGGTCACGCATGGGAAACTGGAACGGTTTCATCTCGAGGCGGAAGACTCGATTTTTCTCCCGAGGAGAAACCGCCGATTTTTCTTTCGATCGGGCCCCGGTTTCTAGGTTAGACACGTGTAACGCGCGCGTGATCTACAGGGTGATCCGTGCTATTACTATAACGAATCGGTTGGAAGTTATATATCGAAGTTTTGCATCCATATACACGAATTGTTTCGATAATAAGA